AGTGAAGTTGGTCACGCTGTCCGGGGTTTTGGGGTGAGAGTACCCGCGAGTCTGTATTTATACGTGTTTTATGTGTTTCTCCCCACTAGACGATGAACGACTGGGCCCCCATCGCAAAGGAGTATGACCCGCTCAAAGCCGGCAGCATTGATGGCACGGATGAGGAGCCCCATGACCGTGCCATTTGGAGGGCTATGCTGGCACGCTACGTACCCAACAAGGGAGTTACAGGAGATCCGCACCTCACCCTCTTCGTAGCAAGGCTCAATCTTCAGACAACAGAAGAGAAGTTAAAGGAGGTGTTTTCCCGCTATGGAGACATCAGAAAGATCCGTCTGGTTCGAGATCTGGTGACAGGGTTTTCCAAGGGATATGCATTTATTGAGTACAAAGAGGAGCGAGCTCTCTTGAAGGCCCACAGAGACGCCAACAGGCTGGTTATTGATCAGCACGAGATCTTTGTGGACTTTGAACTGGAAAGAACTCTCAAAGGATGGATTCCTCGGAGGCTTGGAGGTGGTTTTGGAGGCAAGAAGGAATCCGGGCAGCTACGGTTCGGAGGACGGGACAGACCTTTCCGAAAGCCCATCAATTTGCCAAACATGAAAAGTGATTTCTATGGAGAAGGATCAGCAGAGAAAAGAAACTGGTCTCGTGAGGGATCAAGGGACTGGAGAACAAGAGACCGAGACCACGAAAGGAGCAGAGACAAGCGGTGGCCAGAAAGGGAGCGGTCGTGGACGTGGGGTGAAAGCGAGAGGGACTCCAAAGAGGACAGGAGCAGAGGGAGGGAGAGGAAGGACAGAGATACCGAAGCAGGGAAAGATAGAGCAAGAAACAAAGAGATGATGACAAGCACCGGTAGGTGACAGTGCCTTGGCATGGGGCTGTGTTACCTGCTCTTACATCCACAGCGTTCCAGCTGCAGGGGCTGTGAGCAGCATTCCCAGACCCCCTTGCTAGAAGCTCTCTGTAGTTTGGCTGCTAATGCAGTTAAGATACGTGTTGAATTGTTCTTCAGAGGAAATAAACTTTTGTGTTAGTGTTTTTGAACTGGTGGATGGTGTCAGAAATGCCCCACGTGTGTGGGCATCCCACTGAAACTGAGTGCCCAGCCCAGCTGATACCCATCTGGCTGCCTGCGTTAGGGCTCAGGGGAGAGCTCCGTGTTTAGTTAGTTATGTGCCAGATGTCCACCCTCAGCCACTGAGACAGATACTCTTGATGAAACAGCCACTTGGTGGAGAAATAGTAATGGAACAGCAACAAACTCAGCTTCTGAGAAATGTGCCCCAAACCAGAAGCTGGGAAGTGACATTATTTTCTTGAGCACAGGTGAGATCTTAGTAGTACAATGTCCTTAACTACATCTGCAAGGTGAGGGAGGAGCACGTAACAAGAAATCTGGGGGGGGTTTAGTGTCAAGGGGGGATGTAATTCTTTTGATTAGAGGAATGTGCACTGCAGAGGAATGAGCAGGTCAGGTTCCTGGACTCTCCTCTCTGTGGGTGGTGTCCTGCCTGCACAGGGTTGAAATCCTGCTCTGGAAGTGGGGCTGGCTGCTGCCTGAGTGGAAGTGGGGAAGCAGAGGGCAAAGCAGCTCCTTTTTCAAAGCCCAGCAGTGTATAGAGACACATCTTCTGCTGAGGAGCGCACAGTGCTTTCCAGTGAAGGTGTTCTTTGTCATCATAAGCCATTCTTAAGTATTTGCTAATGTATTTTAAACTGTATTTTTTGGTCAGCCTTTGGATGGCCCTCTCCTAAACCTCTCCTGAACCTTGCCCACTTGAGGCTTTATTTCCACAAAGAGTTGGATGAGGCTTTTCAGGGGAGAGAAAAGAGACCCGGATGCTGCATCCCCAAAGAGAGATGACGTTAACTTCCCACAAAAAAAAAAGGGACTCAAGTCTTGCAGAAATATTCAGGTTTTCAGAAATATTTATTAAACTGTTAAAATGATTTACTGCCCAACAAAAAAAAACAAAAAACAAAACCAAAAAAAAACAACCCAAAGAAGTCAGTGATCCTGCACGCTGCAGACGGGATTGCTGCACCCCTCACCTGACAGGTCCTGGCCCCTCCTCTAAAAGCAGATTTTAGTTGACTATTGAGAAACAAAACATGGCAGAGCCTGAAATCTTTACATCCTCTTCCCTACTCACCATCCGTTCCGATGGCACTTGGAGTGTGTAAACTCAGCATTTCAAACGTGAGGATGAGGAGTGACGTGGTGAACGGCAGCAGCTCAGGAGCAGCTGACTGCAGATTCTGAGCTAACGGGCTAGAGATGAGTGGGGGAAGGTTGCACTGCTCAGTGCTGCTCTTGGACACTGGCTGCAGGTTTGAGGTGACAGCAGTGCTGTGGTGCATGGGACGAGCTTTATGTGCAGGAGGCCAGGAGTTGTCCTCTGTAATGCACCAGCTGAGGTGCTGGGACACCAGTTCAGTCCATGTGTTTCTCTCCCCCCAGCTGATTGCAGAAGCGATGTGCTTATTCAGGCCATGTGTCTGCTGCATTCTTGCACTGTTTCTGATGGCTGCATCTATTCTAAATGTGCCAAACGACTGTAAACTATGCTAGGGAGAGGCTCGATGGGAATCATTCAGTATTTAACTGCCTGATGTAACTGTAGTGTTGGGTTTTTTCTCTAATATGGAGGTGAAATCGAGATCTGAGCAACTTAAGTATCATTAAATGAAAGCATTCCCCCCCCCTTAAGAACTGCTTTTCACAGAAGGGAGGAAGTGCTGCTGTTTTATGGCTACACCTTGCTGCAAGCAAAAAGCTTCAGATACGTTACCAAAACATAACCAGGCAAAAGCTTATCATCTGCCTAATGCTAGCGTGAGATGCTGCCAGCACTGTTTCAGATGCAGATGTCTTTCATATTAAGGCCAGACCTCCCCTGCCACACTAGGTGGCACAGGAGACACTTCACCTAAACATGGGGAAGGCCCATGTTCAAAATGAAGCAGGGTTACTCAGGAGCAGAGCAGCATTCAGCCCACCCTTGCAAAGGATGGTTTCCTGGCACAGCTTCACTCCAGATGGGTTAAGAACCGCTTCCCGCTCACACATACTGAAGAATCCAGAGTCTTGGATCACCCTGTGTTAAAAACAAGTGGCCTGTGCTAAACCCAGTCTCACTCCCATCTTGGAGTCCTTTGGGACTGCCTCCTACATTCAGCACCTGGAGTAGTTGGAGCTTTACTCCAGCCTGAGCATTGTCTCCTGTTGTTAGTGCCACTCCTGAGAAGAGGCTCTTTGCAGAGCAGATGTAGTTGCTGGGGGTGAGACCCCTCACACTAAGCTGCATGTGCAGAAGTTGCCTACAGCCAACTCCTCACCAGCAGCACGTGCTCCAGCACACAGCCAAGGGCACGGAACGACCCCAGCACCTCCCTCACACACAGCCATGGATGTGCCCACCCTTTCCTGCCTGCTTGGGTTCATTCCTTCATGGAGTGCAGGGCAGAGGCAGGGTGAGCACTGACACCCGGCTGGACACAACAGTTACACCGCACAGGGCTGTAGTGTCCTGGTTTTAGTAAGTACATCCTCAGTGAGAACCAAGGGTCCCACAAGCTCAGCTGCAAAGTGTATCTGAATCCCACCTCCCAACAGCTCATCTGTGCTGGGATTTTACTGGCAAGTTAAGGCCCTGTAACCACAGGCCACCCAGACATCAGCCAGCACCAGCAGAGCGGCCTGCACATACGGAAGTAGCGTTGAGATTAGTTAGAGGAAGCATCTTGAGCTGGGGTCATGTCTAAGTCAGTTAAAATAGCTCATGTCAGCTGGCTGAGGGTGTCTTTCACTCTCAAGTTAGGCAATCTTATCTACATGGAGAAGTGGAGTGTGACTTCATTAAGAACCTGTCTGTGGGAAAGAGATTTAATTCCTTGACAGCAGCTGCCTGCTGCGCTAGGGGGAAGTCCCTGGTAAGAAGGAAAGAATCCAAGTGTTAGAATTCCTCCTTGTAAGCAATTCGTTTTCCATTACTACTGCAGACCTCATGGCAAAACGCAAGGCACGCTCACCTCCTACACTGGTTTCTTCATGCTTTAGGCACTATAAGCAGCAGGGAATTGTACACGCACTGTCCCTCTCAAGGCTACTCCAGTTTATCTGTTTGTGTTGGGTGGATTTCCAAGTGGTTCCTCTGCAGAAAGCAGATGTCAGCTGAACGTGACAGGACACAGCAGCACTATGACCTGCTGTGAGAGTGGCAGCTGAGTATCCCTCTTGAAAGAATTCTAACCGAAATAAAAAGCAAACAACCAATAGTGTTAACAAACAGGGTAAAAGAGTCTTTGCCACTAGATACTGTACACTGCAAACAACCTCTAATAATGGCACAGGTCTTTTTTTTTGGTTTAAAGAAGCTTGTGTTACTGTAGTTAATGCATGACCAAGACCACAGACTTGTTATTCAGCACAAAACAAGTCGTTTAGAAGCTTCAGTGTCCCAGGGCATCAGCAACTGTTCGCTACAAAGCTTGGATTCTGTTTCCAGCAAACAGTCACCAAGCAAACAGTGAGGAGTCCCCTCTTGAAGAGTCCATCTGAAACACATCCGCTGAGGTGCACAAGGCAAAATGAAAGTGATGAGCTGCCAGATTTTGGTTACAGAAGCTTCTTGTTACTAGAGTGTCGAGATCTACTGTGGTAAACTGAACACCTCAAGGCTTTAGTCACAGGTGCTGCAGGGCTTCTTGTCCTTGCTCAGTGTAGGAGTCATCTTTATGTGAATTTGACCATTCTCCAAAAGTATCCTGGAAGTGGACATTTCTCTGTGATGCCTGCATACGTTTCTTATCCCGATAGAAGAAACTAAACCTTCCAGGGAGGGAGGGGTGGGAAAAGAAAGAACACTGTTTAGCACCTTGAAACCACTTCAAACACCCGCCACGATACACAGCACAACAAAACAGAGCAAAACATCTGTTTGCATCTGCAAAACTCAAGGCAGTGAAGCCCGATGGGGTGCATGTCAGAATGTTGTTAGAGATGAAGTCATTGCAATCTCAAGCAGTTTGGCTATGGAAGCTTCAAATAAGCTCTAAATGCTGTTGACTCTGCAAGGTGCTGGTATCATTTTAGATGTATATTCCCCCTTCCCCAGCCCTGAGATAAAGAAGCAACACAATACAGGTTAGTTTCTTGGCATAAATAAAGTGGTATCTTTGGCATTAAATCTGGATAATTTACCAGATAGCAGGAATAGAGTATGTTTTTAAGGGTGTCAGCAGGGAAGTTCATAAGATAAGAAAATAAAGCCTCCACCTTTTGTTTCCAAGTGTACAGATTCTGATACATAGACTTGATTCCTGCAAACCCAAATGAGTAAATGGACGTGTGTGCACCAGAGATTGCAGGATGAAGGCTCTAAACCAATGCACACACGTGTGCACGTCATTTCCTCTCACACAGCTTGGGTGCTCTAAGAGAATGACGTACATGAACCAACAGCCATTTAATACAACAACAAACTGCCAGCTGACAACACAGCTAAAAAAATACAGCTGAAAAATCCTTAGTATCAGTTTATTTGTAAAGGATGAAGTTACTCGACCAGGCAAATTCAGTGTTGGTCATGAGTTCAGTACGAGAGGGGTTAGTGCGGTGTTTAGGTCTGCTGAGAAATGCAGAAGTTGTGGTCCCAGCTAGCAAAGGTTTGAATTGGCTGCAAACCCTTTGGGTTTAACAGGGCATTTGAGGAGGGAAATACTGTTTGGGTTGCACAGTGCCCAGCAAACACAGTTGTGAATGGCACAGGAACTGCTAAATGCCTCTGCAGCAAGAAACTTGGCAAATACGAACTTAGCTTTGACAGGTGATGGAATATTTGTCAGGGTATAAAGCTGGCCCCAGCCTCAGCATCCTTCCTGCACCCCCTGAGCCTCCCCTCAGTACCATGATCTGACCATCCAAGCTGCCTTGTACAGAGCAGGGAGTTCTGCCTTCAGTGTCTCCAGGCACAGAGGAGGCTGCATTTGAGTGTCAAGTGAGGTTTAAGGCAGCTATCCTGAAAAAACGTGCTATGATACATGCAGGTAAGCATGGCAATATCAAGAATAATTATGTTTTAACTAGAAAGCAATACAAAAAGCTACACAAGCGCAATGCCAGATAACTAACGTTGCTAGCAGGACCTGAACTTCTACATTTCCTGGCTTCAAATGTGCAGCCTTAATAGTAAAACAAGTCTTTTGCACTTTATTAGCCTCATCCTTTTCTACCACCTTCATTACAGGAGTCCATAAATTCACACACATATGCTATGTCTTTTCAGGGCCAGATCCAATTCCAGGTGATAAAGGAAGTGTGGAGTCACTGAGGCTTTCTGCTGAGCATGTCCTGCCTGGTCAGCCTTGCTATGGTGAAGTCCACACAAATGACTGCTGTATTTATGCAGTAAGTTTCTAATGTCAAAGTTCAGCAATTTTCACTTGATCATGAAGTTGAGTAAGAGAAAAACATGCTTGTAAAATGCCTGCAGGAAGCAGAAGGGTTAGGCCTTTATAATCCCTTCTGAAACAATGAAAATTGTTATTATGCCTCGAAAACTCTCATGGAGGATGTTTGGAAAAAGCATGTCTGTGTGGAGAGGAAGGGGATTTAAACACTGTGTTGCTGCTGTAAATACAGAGATCACTAAAGCAGCAGTTCTAATGCAGAGAGACTGTGTGTTAACAGCTATCAGTACATCTTCCAGAGACAGCCAAGGATAGAATAATAGAATTGATTATTGGGAGTGTAAACTCTGTTCCAAAATACATAATTAGAGACAAAATATACAGTGCATAGATAGAAAGACATGGAAGCAACAGCCTATAATTAACACTGGAAATTAATGTAGATCCCAGCCATTACACTCTGTAAATCTAACAAACTGATTTGTAACAAGTCATTAGGGTGACAGGGGTTTCTTAAACAGCAGTGGTGTGAATTGTGAATAGACACGCTGAGCAAGCAAAATTAACAGATGCCGGTTAAAAATCACATAGTGCAGCAGTTTCCTAAGGAGTAATGACTGGTTTAGCATGGCAACATTAAGGCAAAAGTGATCAAATGTCAGTACTTGAGGATTAGCATGGAGAGGACTACGATGAGCTGTGGACTGACTGGTCATTCTGATTGGCACTTTGTTCTTCTGTGATCCCACAGGCAGCCGATGAGAATGCAACCAGCAGTGCATGTTAACACAGGGCCATGCAAAAGGAAACCACAGTACCAAACAGTATTACAAAACAATTCCTACAAGGGACACAAGTCTTCTTATTGGCTGCAATGTGGGATCGTCTGGAATCAATCCAGCTGCTACCATGGGCATTATGGCTGTAAAGATCCTGGTCAGGAAAGTACAGACACAGAAGAGGTAAGACTGGAGCAAGGGAAAGAAAAAGCATTCCATTAAAAAGAAAAGAGGCAAACATGATACACGGGGTTACTTTGAATTACCACACAGGACGTGTTACAGGGAGAGGTGGATCTGCATCACCCAAGACAGCTCTCCTCAGTGAAAAACTCTTATTTGGAGAAAGCGGTCATTGTAACCATTGAAATTGCTTTTGAATTTCTAAAAGATACCACTTTCGTGCTGTGAGGCAGCCTGCGATCTGGGTTGGGTTTCGTCAAGGTATTACCACCTCTAGCAATGCAGAGCAGAGTGCACATTGTTCTTCTCAAGAGACAAACAGGCACGTACATAATGAAATGAAGGATGAAGGTGTATGTTAAGAAATACGAAACAGGGCTCTGCTGTGACTACTGGATATTTGCACAGAAAACAGGGTTAGGCAGGACCAGCATTACAGTTAACCATTTTACAAGTGTTACACTTGATAGTTTCAAGTTAAAAACCAGGATTGCAGGTGAACTACTAAAGTAACCTCCTATGTCAGTTATTTGGTTAAAGGGCCTGTGTATCCATCCCAAGAGAACCTGCATCATTGCTTTACATGCAGAAGGATGCCAACTGCAGGCAACTAAGTACTTATTTGAACCTTGCAGCTGCTCTGGCAGGAACACTTTCTAGCTGACCACAGCAAGGCTGTTCCTTTGTCATTCAGCACTTTCACTATGCATTATGCAACTCATGCAGCTTCAAGGTTGAGAGCACGCTGGGGGGGTGCTCTGCGCCCAGCCAGCCCCACACAAACCTGCCAACACACCTTCATCCATACCTGGAACACCCTCTGTTTTTCTAAGGAGTCTCCTCAGAGCTTCTCCCTTGTGCCAAATAGTTTTTTGAACTGTGGACTAATGTCAATTAAAGATGAAGTTGAAATCACGAGAGACATTTTGTGACCAAACGCAGCTCTCCCCAACACAGTTGCTATTCTTACATTGAAAATGAACACAAACAAGCAAACATTGTTGTATCATTAGCAGTAACTAGGACTTCTATTTTTACACGTTGTGGCACGGTCCGTGAGCTGCAGAAATGACACAGACACACCAGCTTTTGTAGACTGCAAGAATAGGAAGAAAACTTATGGCTGTTTCGGGCATTACATCAGTGCCCAACAAGCACGTATCCTTAAAGGGAAAACAAAAGGGTGTTTTCTGCTCGAAACAGAGGGAGCATTTTTAATCCTTGTACTTTTCTTCCTCAGTAAAGCCCCCTGGTTGCATCATTTCATCAAAACTCTGGCATGTGATGTGGTAGAGACAAGTGTAGAAATCGAGCAGTCTGAGATCAGAACTCAGAGTTTGTTCTGAAATGCTGATTTCTGTAGCTTCTGGTTTTCCTTCCTTTGTGGGGATGCAGCACAGAATCACCTGAGCACCCCTTAGATGGCTCAGGCTACACGTACATATGTCTCATTCCCTGAAATACTGCGTGGTGAAGGAAAGAAGGGGCACATTATCCAGGCAAGCATAAAACTTCTCTGGAGAGGACAGCATCAGTGTGTCCTATTTTTGTGCTTCAGCTTTTTGTTTAATCAGGAGGGTAAGTCTGAAGCAGAGGGAAAAATCAACCCTGCTTTCATTTGTGAAGGTGTTCTGTGTGCAGATACCAGCACTACAGATTTTCATCACATCATTAGGTGAGGAGGGTTTACGTGCCAGTGTTACCCAGGGAGCTGTATAGCGAGGGGCTGGCAGCACCCAGCCTGGGAGAGGGGAAGGGAGCTCAGGAGACAGCCCACAGCAGGCAGGGACTGCAGGTGGGGCAGGAGGGGTGTGTAACGGGACAGATGCTACACTTGGGTTCTTTGTTTTTCTCCAGCAGTGAAATTTCCTGTCTTCTTAAAGCCCACCTACAAGTACAGTGTTGACAACACACACAGGGAGGAGGGGGGAAAGAAAAGAAACCCACACTAGACAAATCCTATCCAGACAGGCTGCAAGAATAAGACAAATCTGAAAACTAACACCATCCTTCAGGTTACTTAAGTAGTTTTTATCTTCCCTTATTTAATATGATGGCTAAATGAAGAGAGAGCAGACAGGGGGACAGAGCATGACAACTAAAGAAAGTAATTTCGTCTTAACAGCAGGCTCAGTACGTGCTTCCACTGCCTGGCAGAAAAGGACTCTTGCCTTTTCTGAAAGGGACCAAACCATGATTTTATGGCTTATTGTGTGTGGGTTTAGTTCTATGAATTTAACACAGAATCCGAGAAGCAGAAAGATTGAGCAAGTGTCTGAAAATGTGCATTGACTGAATGGCCTGATGCTGGACGGGTTTGCACTAATAAATACACTAAGAAAGCACAAAGATAAGGGGTTGAAAACACTTATGTGCCTCCTGCCACGGCTCCCTGTGTGGCTCACACATGTGTGCAGAGGGCAGAGCCAAAGCTAACACCTCCTCAGCGTGTGCTCTGTCTTCCAATGGCTATTTACATTTTTATGCTGCCTTTGCTTCATACATCAAGCATGGAAACTGCCATCAGCTCAAACTGTGTCAGCTGAAACCAGCCACCCCCCTCAATGGGATAAGCTTTAAAAAGTACTAAAATAAATTTAACAGAAAAGAGAAGCTTTAAAGTGGAGATTTCCTGAAATAAAGAACTCTCATCATCACAGTCGCAGGATGAAAACTGAAGTCCAAACTCAAAGGGGTTTTTCTAGTCCTGTGAGAGGAAGGCTTCTCTCAGCAAACAGAAGCTGAAGTCTACTGAAAATAATCAAAAGTGCCCTCCTGACTTTATAGTGTTTTGGATCAGTGCAGATCTTCCACTGGAACTTACTCTCACAGGGCTGCTGCTATTATTAAATGATGACTGAAAGTTATGGACATGGGGACAGGATGGAAGAGCTTTTTATGTGGAAACAAATGGCTGTTCCAAAAATCATTTATGCAGTTAAAAAAGTTAAGCTTCCAGTCCCACCCCAAAGACTTGCTGCAAGGTCACAAGATTTGATTTGGAATAAATAAGTGTACAAGGAAGGAGTTTCACCAGACAAATGGATTGGCTAACACTGTGATTTCATAACTAAGTGATAGGAGTAAATGCACACCTCTGTCAGTAAGCTTAGGTTTTGGGCAGCACCATTAAAAACTTCACCAGAAGCAGGTGGGGTTCTTATAGCCAAGGAAGTTGGAATCCTCCCCAGCAGCAAATGTGTTCAGCAAACAAAAAGGTTTTTGTGCTGTACACATAGTGCAAGTCGGGGTCTAAAGGCTTAGGTCAAGAGGGAAACAGGCACAGTGAGGTTGTGAGGAAACCTTGTTCTGCAAACCCAGCTGCCACAGTTCTGCCACTGGTTTTACTTGTGAACAACACTCTTTACACATCCTCTGAGCATGACGTGGGGGCCAGTGGTTCCTGACACTCCATCAGTGTGTTAAGGAACTGAGACTCGCACTTGCACAGGAGCATTGTTCCTACAATCCTTGCACTGAGATCCAGACTGGCTTCGGTTTTGGACACACAGGACAGGTTGAGCAGTGCTCTGGAGAAGACCACAATTAGTAGCCCTTCCCTTTGGAGTATGACTGTGTGGCCCAGACAAGACAATTCTCTGGGAAGATCAGTGTCTGTGTTTAACAGCTCATCAGTTCATACCAGCTATAATAAAACACTGCAACAGGCTCTTTCAGTTAGCCTGAAGAGTGTACTTAAGAAGGAAACACTAGAACTGGAGTGGGCTTCTTGGGCACAGCAGTCTGGCCACAAACACAAGCACATGGAGCACTGCTGGACTCCCCACTGCTGTTTGCACTTAAGGAGCAACAGCTGCCACAGGAAATAATCCATGACAAAAGTTGTGCCAGAAATAGGCAAGTTTTGGCCAAAACCAACTGCTGTTTAATACTCATCATATGGTCCCTCGGTGTCTCTCCCATATACGTGAGGGACGTGGATATCTTCATTGGTAAATTCTTTGAAACTGTTCTACCCATAAGAAACATTTAGTATTTGCAGACTATACCCAGTGTCCTTAGAAAATAGGCTACTTACAGTCGTTTGATTCCAGATTCAGGCTGAGTTGAGGGTTTAGGCTGAATTATGGGTGTAGGTTGAGGGGATCTCGTTTCTTCTTCTGTTTCCTCACTTGAAAGAAAGAAAACATAATGAATGTTCTCCTCCCAAGCCACGGAAGCACTTTAAGTTCTAAAATTAAATCCAAGGTAGTGCTGTTGATAAAGACATGCATAAAAATCTGTTCAAAGCTCATTGAAAACAATGGAGATGTTTCCATCAACCAAGGGAGAGCACCTACAACGGGGCCTCCTTTCAATATTGTCTTCCCATGTGACAAGGAGAGGGAGAAGAGGAATGCATTGAATAAAAGTCCCAGATTTTCCATTTTAGACCCATTCTTCTCCTCATTTTTGCAGTTCAAAAGTATTAAATATTTGTAATCATTCTAAGATTCAGGGAAACCTGGGAATTAGGGAAGGACATAGTTTTTCCCACTATGAAGAACCAGATTCAAACTAAAGCCATATACTTGCAATCTCTACTTTAAGCCTTTGTAGATACACAAGCTTGCTGGACACTATTTCAGAGCACACTTGTTGTTTCTAGACCTGCCCTATGGCTCCTCTGTGCGTAGCATGCAACAGGAGAGGACATCTAACCTACCTTTTGTAGTATAAAAGCTCCTCCTGAAGTAAAAACACTTTAGATTTCAATTCATTCCTTTCATGAAGGACATCCCGGAGCTCCTGCAAGGTGAATCTTGGACGATTTGGATCTTTTAAGTCCAATGCCATCTTCTCTGACTCGGAGAGGCAGTCATCGTTGTTGGGTTCTGCCTAGGAAGTGAAATGTGGGCTTTAAATTCCCCATGCGAGTGCATGTCTGAGCAGTTGGAGGTATTTATCAGTCTAGTTCCCAGCTTCTTCCTTTCAGCACTATTATATCCTCTTTTAAGAGCAACACAGCAATTTTAAGAGGACTAAAGCATAGAAGGACTTTGTTTTTCCTGTGACAGACTGTCAGCAAGAACAGCTCAGTGAGCTGAGGAGCTAAGGATTGAAATCCTTAAGCAGAGCCCATTTTTTGTAAGCCTGATCCTACCCTCTTTTAAGCTCATGTGTTTGTGAAGCAGTTTTACTATCTATTGGTACGTGACTTCAGGTTAACCTTGGCTGGGCTAAGGTTGGTGCAGTATCAATTTCTACGGCAGGGATTGCAGTCCTTGTCCTGCAGACAGAGCAGCAGAGCAGGGTGCACTTGTCCATTTGTTTGATTCACCCCATTCATCCAAATCTCTTTCTTTACACAGACTACAATAAATAAAGGTTGATGCAACCTAACAAGTGGCTCAAAGGAAATTACCCAAACACTTCTCCTCTTCTTCACCCCTCTAGATTAGGGTCTAAGCTGATGCCTCTTCTTTTAGGTTGCTCCATACCTTTGCCCAAATAAGCTATTTTGGCTAGATTTTGCTCAAACCAGCACAGACTGAGCAGCCTGTAGCCAATGCAAATGTCTTGACTGAGCCAAGAAGCAACGTCCATTCCAGAGCATGCAGCTATTCCAGCTTTCTGCTTGCCACTGCAATTCCTGTCTAACCATCATCCTGGCAAAGAGAGTGGGGAACGGCTCTAATTAGAAGAGGTGCCACTGCCATGGAACTGATGAGTTACAGAGAGGTGAAGAATGCATCCTTTCTCTCAGAGGCTGAAGACACTTTCACTCCTGCTGGCTCCAGGCCTAGGCTCCACAGCCCCATACACAAAGCTGGGTGTCCTGGCTGTATTAACAGCAATGAAATATTCCTTTTCATTGTTAATACAGGGCTTGCCCAATTCAGCAGTGACATGTTAACACAACACTGGCTGTCACATTCCAGGGGGGACCAAAGGACCTTTATCAGCCTTTGTCTCTGCTTCTTAATGTATATTCCTGCCTACTACAAGTGAATTGGATGTGTCACTCTGCTGCAGTCTATCAGGCATTTAAATGCTGCTTGGTACTGGAGCAATCACCAATGCATCCAGCCTGCACGATAGTGCTCCTCTAAGTTCTTTTGTATCATGATGCCCCTTATCCTATTTTGTACTCTTCTAAGAGCAGCATTAGGAAAGGAAAATACAGCACATTTGCTTTACTAAGACAGAAGTAGTGTCACATGCACAAAGAAAAAGTAATAGGAACCATAAAGAGGACTAAGGGATGCAAGAGATCAGAGATGCATCTTTTTCTCAGGAAGCTCCCCTCCAGTTAGAATGAATAGTTCAGGTCCTTTCCAACCCTAACTATTCTATGATTCTAAGTTGCATTCCTACTGCTCTGACCTCGGCACCAAATCAGTTTGCAGATTTGTCTCTTTGCCTGTTCCTGCAAGCACTTGAGTACCCAAGCAGTAACATCTGCTTTTCATGAACATTTGTACTAGTAACACTTCACTGCACAAATTCTAATAGGAAGCAAAAGCAGAAATAGGGCCAAAGCTGGTTCCTCTAAAAGATGCCTTCAAATATTTGTATATTGATTTGGTAGCAATAGACCAGCTTAGTCCTGACAGACCAAAAGTGCCATAAGCACTGCGAGGACCAAGAGTGGAGGTTCTGCATTGCCTCTGGGACTGCTTTTGACACAGTTTCTTTTCTACTGTGGTTCACATGCCACCACCATCACAGTGCACTGCTCCTCTGGGACCCATCAGAACTCACATATTTGTATACTCAGCAAAGCTTAAGCTACTTGCCAGCTGCTTATCTTCTGGAAACCCCAGACTGTTTAAAGGATGGGTTTGTTTTCCTCTGGGGGAAAGGGTCGATGTGTACAAACAAAATGAGGCCAAACATACCAATACAGCACTACTAGACCACTGTCTGCCTTCAGTACAAACTAACAGCTGATGCTCCCGTGATTTGGGATTGATTCATGATGTTTTTAACAGAACACTCTCTTTTGAAGCAATGATTTGTTCTGATAGCTGGTGAGTTCTGCATGACCCAAAGGCTGCACTCTCAAGGCTGTACGATGGGTAGCCAAGTCTAAAGGGAGAGCTGCTCTCTAACGCAGACATCCCACTGCCTTCTGTGAGACCCATTCCCTCCTTCAGGAATGAGGGTCTTTTCTACTGGGTCATCATCCACCTCACGGGGCCTTTCCTGCTCTCTGTATGTCACACCTGAACACAAGATGCTATCCTCAAGTCCCACCATTGCCTCTGATGTGTATCAATCGCATTTATCCAAAGAGGTACTTGGGATGAAGTCCAAACCTTTTATAAAGGCTATTTACTAAGTGATTTAAAGTGCCTCTTACCTTTATTTCCTCCCCGTTCTGGCTGTCCTCACCCTGCAGTTTTTCTCTCAGTCTCCCCAGCTCTGCTCGCAGGTTGCCCATCTCCTGCTCCTTGGTTTGCAGATAAGCTTCTAACTCCACCTTCTGCTCGATCAGCGCCTTCCCCTGAGCCTCAACAACAGTGATGCGGTGCCGCAGGTCGTGGTTGATTTTCATTAACCTGTTCTGTTGCTGCTGAAGCTGCAAAACATGGATGCAATAAGGCAGCATCCATCCAGTCACGATGGCCAAGTCCCAAACATCAGGTTAAAAAGCAAAACTAGTGGGTTCCTGTTGAGTTTCATCTGGAAAATTCTCCCCCTCCTCACTCCCATTTTTCTTTAATGTCTAATTATCTATTAAAGTTGCAGTTGCCAAAACTTAACTTGTTTCTAGAGTAAAGAGGCATTTTCCCCCAGCATGGGGAATTCTCCAGCTAAAATGCAAATCCATCACGTCTGGTAAATACCTTTCAAAAGAGCAAAGTTCAGGGACAGGGATTATGGGATTCTGAATCAAATCTTAACCCAGAATAGAAGCGAGAAAGACAAGACAGAGGAATCCTTATATTCAATATATAACATACTTCGAGTACTCTGTACTCAAACATTGCTTTTTGCTTTTAGGCTCTCTTGTAAGGCAGGCTGTGACCTGTGAGGCACTGCATGGACAGCACCAATCTGAGAGGGCACAGCACTTGCCAGAGGCACTTGGCTGGAGCAGGGATCATGTAGGTCTGGCCCTCAGTAGCACGGAGAAGTCCCGTGGCCTCAGGAAATGAAGCAGCGTGAGGATGGGAAGCAAAATACGGGTAAGGAGGTCATTCCTCCTGACACAGAAAGAGCCAAGACATCATGTGATTCCCAGTGGAGTCTGTGATTCATTAAGACTAAAGCCGGATCTCTTGTGCTGTGGTCCCCAGGGACACTCATCCTCTCTCAGTGACCTTCTGGCCAAAGCAAGTGACCTGGGCTGGGCCCAGGCCCTTCCTCCTCTCCCTTCCTGTGCAGAGGTAATCCACATTGCAGCCCTGGTGTGGGAGCGTGTGTGTGGAGTCCAGCTGCCAAACTCTGCAGAGAGTATGTGTAAAACATACAGCAGCTCACTCACCTCGGCAGGGATCCCTGCGTGGTGCTGAGGAAGTTTGCACTGCCAAAGCAGAGGGAGATTCAGGAAGCCAGAGTAGGTTACCTGTCCTGTTCCCACAGAAGGGGAGAGCTACGAGGTCTTAAAGGAAACAAACAAAACAACCTGTCCTTCCCCCATCTTCCTCTCTCGTTACACTGGATTCCAGTCACTTCCAAGCGGGACTGGTCCTTCTGGATGCAGCAGAGGGTGTGTGCCTGCACTGAAGGCTGCCTAATGGTTTTGGACACTTCAGTTACTGGACTAATTATGTGGCATTGCTCACAAATCCTACATTAATTTAAAACTAAAACCAGGCTATGGAAGTATGGGTGAGAAAGAAGAGAAATAGGAAGACTCAGAGCCACTTACAGCCTCTACATCCTCATTTTTAAGTCCGAGTTCTCGGTCCTTTGCTCTGATTTCATCCCTCTGTTTATCTACCACTTCCTTCAGCTTCTTCATGACTTGCCGCTCTCTCTCTGACATTCCTGGTTAAAAAAAGAACACACAAAAAAACCCCTAAGGACAATGAGGAGCTGCTGAGACTGAGAACAATAGTGAGAAATATTTAGGTAAAGACTCTGGAAGTTGCCTGCTGGTAGAATTACAGAGATGCTGTTGGAAGATGCTTTGTTACTTCAAGGGTAACAGGGAACACAGATGACACAATCCACTCCATAAAGCCATTGCACAGGAACTCCTTAAAAAAGGAACTGACAGTCCTCAGAAATATTTATAACAGTGGAGTGACACTGCTGCATCTTGGTGCCTCTGCAGTTTTAGAGCAGTGTTCGCACTACCCCCAAGGAGCTTGGTTATTGTGTGATGATCTGTAGAATCAGCTGGCCAGGACCCTGATGGGGTAAAAAGGATGGTCTGGGTCCTCAGCAAGATCTAACCAACATGTCCCTGTAGTGGACTGCACCTGGATCCAAACCAGCTGAGGAGAGCTGGACTAGAATGATTTTACGTTAAACCCAGTTCTGTGTTGGGTGAAAGGGAGATAAAGCAGGACCTTCAGAGGGTACCTCCCCCCTGAATCTAGAACAGACATTTAATGTGAATTATGGTCACACATTTTCTCATATTTTGCAACCCTTTTGCACTCTTCTGTTATTTGCTATATAGAATTGGGAACTGGCACTGCAGTGATGAGCTCCTCAGAGCAAAACCAGAGATGATTTAACTTGGTGAGATGCTAAATCTACTGCCCTGCCCTTTCCTGATAACTGCACAGACATGCAGTTTGATGGTCCTAAACTATCACATAAAATCACGTAGCACAACATCCCATAGGATGGCTTGAAGATGGAAGCCTGTGACCAGGGCAATGTGTGGCTGCTCTGGCCTACATCCACTCCAAGCAGGAGCTCAAATCCAGGGTCTGCTGCTGCCTGGTTCTCTTACCTTTGGCAAAGTAGTTACACGTGTCCTCAGCTTCTTCCCTTTACGAACTGTGAGTGATGACAGTTCACTCACCCCTCTGGGGTGGCTGGAAAGCCACTTTCTTTTTAATATAATAAAGCAGTTCCACATCAGAAACATGCTGCATTACACAGCAAATGTATCCAGCCAGTCAAGCCTCTGCTTTCTAGCATCAGCTCAGACTTTCTGGTTATGTTTTCTTCCCTTCATCAAAAGTTGCTCCCAAAGAGAATGCAGGCTGCATGCCTTGAGGAACTCCAGCTTACAGGTCACCTACAGCTTGAACTGATGGATAAGACAGTAGAGCAAGACAAACCTGAGAGAAGGAGAGAGAAAGGGAGTAACTCTGGGGGGGGATGTGCACTCCTGCAGCAGCTGTGGGTTGCCATGCAGGCACGAAAAGCACAGCACTGCAAACAGGGGGCACAGCAGCTCCGACCCCTCCTTGCTGAAGGACCAGAGCTATGGTAGAGCAGAGAACAGGAAACCACTGTGCTGGGAAGAGGCCTAGGGATCAGGGCTGGCTGGGAATCCAGTGCAGAGGACATGTTCCTCTCACAGCCCCGAAAAGAGCCAAGTGTAACATGCCGTTCACGTTCTAGTATTACATTCTCATCTCTCTTAATTCAGTGGTAAGTTTGAGTGCTCTATTTCTGGACCCTGGTCCTTACCACCTCCCTGCTCTAGGTTCTAGTTCTTTGCAGGGCAGTTTAATTCTTCGCTGTGGTAACAGCTCATACCTGCCAGGGAGGACAAATAGGCACTGACTCTGCTACTCAGCTCTTCTAGAAGACCCACACTCTCCTATCACAACGCAGGTCTGGTACATCACTGTATACACAAATGTCACTACAGGCTCCTGGATCCACCCTCTGCTGGGGCCTAAAACATCAGCTGTATTTAAAAACAAATAAAGACCCTAAAACTTCGCCTTGGAAGAACAGAAGGACTGCAGTGAAACTTTAGACCCATGTTTCACCCCAGTAGGAGCTAGGAATAGTGAGTGCAGCTATATTCATTAGTACTTGTGAGATGTTTTGAGATCTCTAGAGAGCAGGTGCTATTAAAAGAATAAAGTACCATTTCGGTGCTGACTGCTTTTCCTCCCACTGTGCTCATTTTTCTCCCTAACATTTGGTGAACCTAAAAGACTTCAATTGTGTGCACGGATCACTACATTATCATTTTTATTTCAAGAAGAGAGGAAAGGAAAGGTGGGAAGTGTTTGTGAATCAGTCACATCTTCTTCCATTTCCTCAGGCACTGGAGGAGAGGGAGGGAAATCAGTAAGTGCCCTAAATGTAAAGTCATTATCTCTAAATGATTCAAACTCTAGTAACTCCAAGATCTGAAATGGCACACCCAGCTTGCTTCCCATGGCATATCCTATGAGCAGCTTCCTGTGCATTGCTGTGATCACAGCACTGTTCAAGCAAGAGAAAGGAAAGCAGCTGGTGGGGAAAAAAAGGTAAAAGAATAAAATAAGAAAGAAAAATAACATCCTTTATGTTTAGAGACCCATTTACTGTTGTGTCACATCTATCACAACAGGCCGAAGTGCCAGGCAGGGCCTGTGGCACTGTACCATTACCTAAATACTCAGGATAGAAGCTTGCCTCTGCTTTTGAAAGGGAGTTGTAGGTTCCTCAGCAGCCCAGCACAAGAGGTTCACACAACTGCTGCCATCATGCTGCCTGTCTGTATCACCACAGCCAGCCTGAGACAGCCGCTCTCCTCACTGCAGTGGAGCAGCAGCCTGCTTGTCCTGTTTGACACTCGTTGGGTCAAGTTTGCTTGTGGCATTTACTAGGATATTCCAATCAGTTTGAGCTTGGGAGGAACAGCATTAATGGAGGGTGCAGACTCATCTTTCACCCCACCTGTGTATTCTGTATTCTGCCACGTGTCCTTTCACACGAACCCTGCTGTGCTCAGTGCAGAACACTCCTGCTTAGATAGGATTGCCTCTGCCTCTCTCCTGAGCACCCTCATTATGCTTCAGCGAGGCTCTGAGAGCTCTGATGTGACTATTAATTCACAAGATTGGATCTCAAAGTCTTGCACATTCAATCACTGGCCTCTGTTGCCTGTGCTAAAAATAACTCCTTTAGCTGTCTGGTGAGTAAGCAGCAAGCTGTTAATCCCAGGGGCTAGCCACTGAGGGGAGACATGATCACAATACTAAATCATGCTGAGACAGGGAGACTGGAGTCTGGTCACAGTTAGTCCAGCTACCAAAGTATTTAGCTTGAAAGCCTGCTTCTGCCCCTACATGTATCAGATCAAATGATGGAGACTGAAAAAGGCAGCGTGGCTGCTTTTGACATTATCCAAACAAGTCATTTGAGACAATTCTATCCCCATTCATTAATGATAAAATTGCCTAAAAGAAAAACAGTCGGGTTTGATAAAAGAGGCCCCAATAGTAAGGTGATGTTGCTATAAATGAATGTGATTTGATTGAAACTGATGATTTCGGCCACAGAATATCAGTGAACTCAGAACATGATCTCTGGAATGGGTTTATAGGTTTTGTTTGTGTTATCATACTTGGGTAGACAGTAAAAATAACAGGAAAAGCATGCCTGGCATTTGCTTGGCTAGCTGGATGTGAAGAGTATGGCTGTATTTAAATACAAGCACATGAGCTGCAGTGAGCTAGATACCCACTGGAAGGAAAAAACCCAAAGAGAAGCCAAAGGGGAAGCTGGTTCTTTGTGATGAGATGTCAGTCTTTGTGCTCTGTGACTCAGTGCTGCCATTCTGAAATGCTGCTTGGAGTTCGTAAGGCTGATGCTGAGCCCTCTCTTTGTCATTAAGTGACTCCTAAATTCAAAGTGTTGCATTTGGTTTACAAAAAGTGGAGATTTGGAGAGGTTTAAGAATTTCAGCTTTTTGAAGATTCCATTATACTCCTCCCCAGGGCAAGTGCTCAGCCTCTGGGAGAAACCCAATGCAGCTTCTGCAGTGCTGGACAGGGTTTCATCCACCTGTAGCAATCCCATTTAATCCCAGCCTCTGGTGTCTCGATAAGGATATCCCTTTGTTCCTGACACTTTACTGCAGAGCTGCAGTGGCTCAGCTGTGTGCTCTGGTTTCCAGCCCAGCCAGTGGTTTGCACACTACACGCAGGGTGCTGCCCTTCGGAGGAAACCAGGACTTTACTGACCATCAGAACCTACTGGAAGTGGAGCTGTGGCTTGAAGCAATGGAGCAGAGTCCTGTCCATGCACACACAGTTCAGAATGCCACCCACTTCCACACTGACTCACCATCACAGGCATGCTTTGCTGTTACCATTCTCAGCTGTCCTCCTCATCTCTCAGCCCAGGGCTGCCTCATCCCCAAACCTGCACAACTCCTCAGCTTAAATCCCTGCAAGGTATCATGAAATGGACTTGGTATTTGTCAGCCTCAAATTAGGTGCTATGAAGAGTGGAGGAAATAGACATGTGAGCCCCTGCTCTTGGAAAAGAGCTGTTTGCTGACCTGGGTGAGAGCTGAGGATGGCAGTTGTGTGAGTTGCTGCAGTGAACTCTACTTGTACTTTCAAGACAGAATTGTGTACCTTGAACTTCATTCTGCCTCAAGAAGGAAGTTGCCCACAAAGTGGCTGTTCCAACTCTTTTGGATTTGCCCACTCCCTGGATTATAAATCTCTTCACTTACCCTAAATTGCCTTTAAGTACCAAACAAGTGAAGGAACCCTAAAGGCAGGTAAACCAAGAAAAACAAATCACTCCTATTATAGGAGAATTCTGCTAGAATATCTCCCTATGGGAGACTGATATAATTCAGACTAAGAAATCTTGATTTGCTGCTTTACAAACAGTTGCCCTGCATAGATCAACAGCTGCACTTATTCTTGTGCATAATGGTGTAAAATAAACACTGCTGAATGGGTTGTTCCACTTGTATTACAAAACACAAGGAGGGCTTAAGAATGGTTTTTGCAAAGTGTAAGCTAAAAAGAAACAAAGAAGTGATAGACTAAGTATTGGAGCTAGACTTTACTTTCAGAGATGCTCTTCTGCCAAACAGGAAGTTGTTCGTGCTTTTCTTTCCCTCCTGTTTCCCCCTCTTATCATGTGTTCGGTGTCATCATGTTAGAGATCTTCTATTAGGTTAAAAAACCCCCAAAACCCCAAACCAGAAAACCCAAACAAACCCCCCAGACCCAGACCTGCATTAATCTATAGGAAACCAGCCAGAATATCCAGTCAAAATATTCTGATCAAGTATTGCTTTTTGTAACAAAAGCAAGTACTGAATTTGAAGTACCAGACTTGCCTTCATGCTTCTGAAATTCCTCTTCTGTGAAATTAATGTCTTTGTGAGACAAGTTTGTCATCAGTTGTTTATTCTCCTCCTGCAGCTGTGCAATTTGGGTAAGAAGGTCCTGCGCCTCCCCTCTCCAGACATCCTCCACCAGTTCTAATTCCTAAAGGGTAGACCAGGACAACACATTTATACTTTTAAATACATGAAGAGTCTTTGACTCGACTATTTACAGATCAAACTAGTCACAATCTTACTGTGATTCTTACAGAAAACAGTTAAATGAGACTAGAATTTCTTAGGAGACATCTGCTTTTCTAGTGCCAGCATCAAGGCATCCACGCATGAGGAGACAATTCCTCATGCTAACATTTTTGATGTGCACATTACCCACAGTGTTTCTTATGCCCCATTTTGCCGTGAGGGCCAGGCTAAGGGGACGGCTGTGTTAGACAAGATAACTGAATGTGAGCAACACCTACCTCCTGCATCCCAGGAAGCAGCACAAAAGCTGTTATAAATGCCCCAGAAACATCACACAGCGCGGCCCAGGAGAGGCAGTGCTGCTCCTTTTGAAAGAGCTGCATCTCCAGTCTAGTGCTGTGTTATGAAACACAAGTGTAAAATAATGAGTGCGTGATACAGAGCAGCAAACCCAGAGCTCCCAGTCCACATCCTAAACACAAAACTGCTGCTTCTTATGTAAATTGTGCTACATGGAATGTCTCGAGTGGCATCTGTGTTAGCAGCAGTGAGACCAGTCAAAACAGCTCCCATGTGTCAGGACACTGTGTGTCAAGAGCAGCTGTCACCAATCCCTGCAAAGGTCAAATTAGGACAAAAAGTATAAAGTCCTCAAGGAAAAAGGGTTGTGTTTAGAGCTTTTACTTGTTCCAAAAGCCTTTGCCATAAATCATACTTGTGCAGTGAGGGGCATTCTCTGCTCCATTTTCATGTGTGTGCTTCAAACACAAAAGCTGCACGCAGATCGCTGGAGCCAGGCTGAGTCACTTGCTGACTTGTGCATCCAGCCAGCATGTCCTCTCCTACCTAACAACAAAACACATGCAGACAACAACCCTGCCAGGCACAGCTCTCAGCTAAAATAAGCTCTGCTGAGAGATTAAAGGGTAGCTTTCTGCTCTGAATGTATGCTCTGATAATGGGAAATCATGTTTCTAATGACTTTTTAGTCCAAATGCCAGTTTATTCTGGCATTTATTACTGCATTGCTGTCATTTTATAAATTAAGAGTTTTGCAGAAAACACTGTATGTGCTGTAACCTGAATTATCAGGAAGAAAACCTCTATTTTACTTGAAACTCTTTATCTTCAGAAAACAAAAGCAAATCTGTAAGGAAATGTATATTGCCAAATAACTGTTTACAGTGCTGCTGCTGCCTATTACAACTCTGTAGCTAGAATAATGCAGTGACCTACTTCAGCTGAGAAAACAGCACATTCATCGGTTATGAGCATTCTGATAAAACCAAAATAGAACCAACACAGAAACCCAAACTAGCTAAACTTACATTGCTTATGTGTGGCTGCAGTGTAAACTCACAGCTATTCCACAGTGGGCCTGGGCAAGCCTTCCTATTTATAGCTATTGAAGAGCCCACGAATTGGAGCAGAAATTCACTTCTGAACTCTCATTAGTAGAAGCAGCAGATCTAATGGGCCAGTAGGTGCCAGACAGCTCAGGAAACTCCAGACAGTGCTGAGCCAGTTTTATAGGTAAAACAGATTTACAAGTGATGTTTAAGTGCTAAAATCTCATAAACTGATGCCTGCAAGGACCACTAAAAGCTCATCTGGATGACTTTTGGGTCACAGCTACTTCTTAGTCTTTTTCTGCTTACCAGTTCCTGCCCTGTGAAAGAGTTACTCTTCAGACCCTCACACTGGAACACAGATGATGTGACACTACTGTTCTATAGAGACTTAGTGCACTGGGAATCAACTCGATTAAAAAATACCTATGTGCTATGAACTTCATCATCCCTGTTAAAATATTTTGCCAACAGTTTCATCTGGATTGTCTAAACCCTCTTTGCGCTCTTCCATGGCTGTCAGAGGAGCTGGCAGAGTAGAGGTGGTTAACTGGCAGGGAGATCAGTTGAAGCTGGCAAGCACAGTGTTATGCAGCTGACATGTTCAGGAAACTTTTAAACACATAAATGAACTTCAGAAGCATCTACGTAGAACATCAGCTTGTACAATGACACTGGGGGTGTTGCTACAGGGCCCAGTTTGGGATCCGCTTCACCATGCAGCATTCTGCAAATG